GACAGTAAGTCTTTACTGCAGCAGCGACGCCAAACAACTCGCATCCTATTACCCGTAAATGTTTATTCAAATAAATTTATCAGACAAACTTTTGACTTGGGAGTTGCTGAACATAAACTTCTTTTGCTGACTTTTAATGCTGAACTAGCGTGCGTCCAGACAAGTTCGCAATTCAGTTTCTTGATTGGAACGAGTCCGTGACGCATTCCATGCTGCTGATTGCTCCTCTTCGAGGCGATTGCCAACTTTGTCTCAGGCAGTCGACTCTTACTTAAACGAAGGTTTTCGAGATAACTACATTTAATGATAGCGAATAGTCAATTTCTGCTAGGAAGATAGCCAGTCTAACACTGGGTGTTTCACATTGCTCGAAAGCTCTTAAAAGGGTGCTGCTGAATGTGCGGCAAAGCGTAATGCCCCAAGTCGATGGCTGGTCAACGAAGCTGTGTAAGATCAATGCAGGTGCTGGGGGAGTAGACTGAAAGATGCAATTCCACTCGCAGAAATGCTGCCTTTGTCTTGATTTTTATAAGGTTATTATTTACTCTACAAACTTGGTCAAAACTGCCCATGCAAACGTTGCTGTCAACCTTATGTGGAAGCTACGCCAATTCTAACGATGTGAGGGACGTCAGTTGCGCCGTTATAGCTAATATGATCGTCCTTTTGACTTGCAGATGAATGTGTAATTTCCCTCACACGAAAACCGCTGTCTAAGTTGAAGGCAAACCAATGTAGCTTCGACAAACTGGACACCTCGCCAATGCAGATTGCATGGAGTTATTCGGTAACAAGGAAATGGCCCGCCTCCATCGAGTCTTGCCATTTTTCTGTACCTTTCCATTTAAACATTATAGAGTAGTGCTTTACGCACAAGTCAAACTCAACTGTAAACCTGCACATACTGTGAGACGAATGCCCATAAGCACTTAGATAGCAGCTTAAATTTGTGCATTCCGTGGCACACCACTTTGACTAGCCCAATCGTGGGGATTTCTGCAGCACTCAAAGCAAAAGGAAGGGTAAAGCGATGGCCTGCATCCGCTGTGTTGGCCAATGCCAAATTATGTCAACTACGGTTAATTATGCTGAGACACTGCTAGTGCAGGCCGACGGTAATAGTAATTTACTGGGAAAGGTGGATTGGGCTTATTCTATTATCTACTTTCAGTTGCTTCTCGACGTTCCGCCTCTTATTACCCAGTCGCAAAGAGAACGCTAAAACCTGCAAAAGCGAATTGCTGTAAATGATATGAAAAGTGGTTTCCAATGTAGAGTATGGGATTTTAGGTCATCTATTTGTAGGAATTCACATCACCATATTTTTGCGCGAAATTCCACAAAACTGCCAAAGTACCCTTGCAAATCTTAAAGGACTAACAGATCATTGCTTAAGGGAGTGTTAGGGTTGTAAGATGAGTGCTTTAGGGAGAATAGTGTGACTGCCATGCTCTTTTCTAATTATTAAGATCATCAAAAGTCACATTCTCAAAACCATTTCTAAGTTAACTTTTTTAGATTTCGTCCGACTTGTTTGATGTAAGCACACAATCTGAGATGATCTTTTCCCTCACCTGGTCTAATGTCAGAAAAATTGTTGAAATTTGTGCTAGCAAAGATTTACGCACACGCTGATATGACTAAATGCCATTTACATTCCGAAATACACCGATGTTAGTGTTGTGCACATCCTTTCCTTCCTTCTTCCAAAAATCCTGCTCATGCTCTGTTGTTTTGAGACAACAATCTACCCAGATAAAGTCCATCCAAATCCCACTACACTGGACAAATTTTGCAGCTACTGCATAGAAAGACTAGGTTGCTTACAATATGGGTTATTCGATCAAGCTTGTCTTTACTAGTTTCATCCTATCACTCATTCTGCTGATTTTTAAAAATAATGACGTATAGGTTCGAAAAATTCCTTAATTCTTTGCATTTACTCAGTTGATGGTGGATGTCTATAAAAATCGTTCCCTAAACACAATATGACATCGCACAGGCTTACAACACTTACCCCAAAAAGGTAGCGTCTTCGTCACTGGAATATTGCTTTGCTGAAAGGTAGACATTATCTTCTTCTGGAAATATGACAAATCAATCACGCTGCACATGCTCTTCACGTCTTTTCCTTAAAAAGATGAGCTTATGCGTCACAGGTATTCCTTAGCCAAACCGAAGTCACTGAAAAGCTCAATAAAATTGATGCGCCATCTATAGACTAGAAATGCTTTACACTTACAGATCATGACGCATTCATAGGAATGTTCCACATGCATATTAGTCTGTGAGCTTCCATGTTCTTGACCTACAAGCCGCCTTCCTAACGGTGTGTCGTAATGGGTCACGTTGGCAATTCCACATTCAGCATACACGCTTGTTAACATAAAGTTGAAGAGGGATAAGTGGGACAAGTGTCTTGATAATTTGGTAGGCATATTATATTGTTGCACACATTTATTAGTGAAGGTAAATATTGACTTCCCATCGTCGAAGTGAACCAGGTATGTGAAGTATAGTTGCCATCTCTCACGAGATAATAAATAATCAAAATAAAGTTTGATTCTTTTACCAGGACAGAATGCTACAGAGATACGCTGTCTTTTTCTACTCACTCGGTTTGCTATTTCACTGACACTTGAGGAATTGCTTTTATGATTCTAATGATAAGCGAACGAACACATTGCCTAGCCTTTAGACTACCTACTGGTTCAAGCCACTCTGGTCACCTTGTGTGGGGCAGATCGAGGACGGGACTGCCAATCAGTATATACTGCTGAGGTATACATA